TCGATGGGAGAGCGGACGGGATCCCGAGCTTTCCAGTAGGTATGGTCGTATGTGTGGGAAAGGAAGTGTTGGACAGATGATGAAGCGATGTGCGATGCTGGTCCGTCCTTATCTTGGTGCCTCATTACCTGAGCCAATCAAGCTGCAGCTGATCGCAATCCGGAGGACGAGGAATAAGAACAACTGTGCGCGCTTGAGTTGCATCAATAATGTGAGGCTGGAAGCGATGTGAACACGGTTATCGTGAGCTTGTCGACCCAGGTTTCGACCCAGGTTGCTGCCAGTTGACCTTTATTGGAAGCAGAGCCAGGGTCCAGCCTCGACATGATATGATGATATGGGGTCCAAGCCGACGGGATGCGACGTTGGACCGATCGATGCGACCCTAACCCTGGACCCCACTGCGGATACGTCATTTCGGCCAACGGTTGTGGCGCCACTAACGACCACTGACATCAGCGGGCATGACGTCAAAATCCAGAACCAATCGACTCAATATGACCACGAATCCTGGGCCTTGACCCAGCTGTAAACAAGTTTGTCGAGCCCCGGGATGGGCAGCAATCCTGGCAGCACGGCCGAGTATGTGGTACATCATGGGCCTCTGACGCGTTGCTGTGCTGCTTCTTCAAGAGCCTCTCCCCGTCCTTGCCGTGCATCTGGAGCATTGTTTCCTCATCCATCGCAGTCGTCAACCCGACATATCCAGATTCCACGAATTTCAATCCAACCCCCATCCAGCAACTCGATTCCATCTCACAGTTTTCAAGATGCCTTCTATGCTCGGTCTCACCACGGACAAGTCCCCGCACGGACTGAACAGCAAAGAGCCCTTCATGGGCGAACAGAACCACGACAATGATGACATGGGCAAGCAGCTTGCCCGACGCGCCGGCGACTCTCTCACCAAGGCCTACAATGGCAAGAAGGACAAGAAGGACAAGAAGAAGTCCAGTCGCCGAAAGCACTCACGCCGCGACAGCGGTCACGGCGACAGCGAGGACGACTCTGACAATGACGTCAATGTTTCTCGGAAGCGAGAGGAGCGCATCCAACAGCATGAGGAGGACGACGAGGAAGAGGGTGACCGCCCCAACACCATCAAGGAGCGCAACTTCAAGGCCGCCATGGAGGGCGAGACGCTCTTCTGGCGCGCTCTCTGCGACAAGCCTTCCAGCGCCTTCAAGTACATGGGCAAGGATGCCGTCGTGTCCAACTACCTCCTCTTCGGCGACAAGAACCCCAGAGGTCCCAAGACGGAGCCCACTCTAGAGGAGGCCCTCGAGGACTGCGAGGGACCTCTGAGCTACAGGATACATAAGTCGTACACTGTTGAAATTGGTCTCATGGCTGTCGCCGTTGTCTACGACGTCACTCTTTACCGCAGCCACGGGCCGCCGGCGCGTGACGGTACCGTCAAGATGAAGGTACAGCAGGCCACGGTGACGAGCACGTGGAGGCAGGTTGCCAGCGGCGACTATGTTCTGGCCTCATCCATGTGCGGTTGAAACATGTATGAATTATGACGTCTGTATGGTATTGGACTGGTGCGGGGCGTTCTTGGGCTTCTCTAGCATTCGGCATGCACTCAATCTTCATGAATTTTAGGTTCTGTAAATTGACAACCCATGATGTTGGTACATCGCTATGTTGACGTTGGAGGTTCTTTGTCACTTGGGTGATGTGGACGAGGATTCTGTGTATACCGTGTATACCGCTCGACGTCAAAGAACAACCACACGCATGTGTTCACATAGGATTAAGAAGAATCCCGACACCGCTTATGAACCAAACGAAAACTTATTTCATCGACCTGCGCTACCTGCTACCCAGATCCTCTCCCGCACGGCTCACAAAGACTCAAGCCTTCTCATCAATGTTGAACACCAGCTTCTCGCCGCTGACTTTCTTGTCTTCCAGTAGCTTGAGGCCTTCCAGGATGCCGCCCAGTCCGCCAGGCAGAACCTTGGGCTTGTGCACCTTAACCTTGCCTTCGGCCAAGAGGTTATCCGCAAGCGGCAAAAAGTTCTCGGCAAAAGCCCTGTCCTCCTGGCTTGCCTTCCACGAGCCGAAAGCCTCAAAGTCTTCGCCAAAGATGGTGTATCCAAGGGTCCAGCGATCCTTGACATTCTCCCTCTCAATCTTGATCGCGAGAAGAGAAGAGTAGTCTCCGCCTTCAGTGGAAATGGCGTCGTCGCAGAACTTGGCAGCGGACTCGGTGGCAATCGTGTCAAGGACCAGTTTCAGATTGTTGTTGGTGAACTTGCGGATCTCCTCACCAGCTGCGGAGTCTCGAGAGTTGAAGACAGCGTCGGCTCCAAGGGACTTGAGCAGATCAAAGTTGTGGGGTGATGCCGTCGCAATGACCTGGTACCCGGAGAGCTTGGCAAACTGGATGGCGAGCGTGCCAGTAGCCGTGGATCCGCCGTAGATGAGGAGAGGGACGGGCTTGGTGATCGGTGCGGTCGGCAGGTTCAACTTCAGGCTCTGATACAGGCTCTGGCCGACAGTTGCTACACCGACCCCCAGCGTGGCCGCCTCTTGGAAGCTCAGGTTGTCGGGGATGATGTTGCTGACATCGCCCTTGACCATGATGTACTCGGCAAACGCGCCATCCTCATGCTGGACCGAATTGCCGCCGTGGACAAACCCGTAAACGCGATCGCCCTTCTTGAAAGGCTTTTTGATGCCAGTGCCGACCTCTTCGACGATTCCAGCATAGTCGCAGCCAATGAGAGAACCAGCGTCGGCGATGTGCTTAATGTGCACCCAGTCGGTCGGGTTGAGGGCGACACTAACCGTCTTGACTAGCATGTACTCGTCCCTTGGTTTGGGGAGAGGCCGATCAGTGACAAGGCTGGCCTGCCCTGGGGAAGTGACGACGATGGCCTTCATTCTGAATAAAGAAACTGTAGTGAAGTGGATGACGAGGCGAAGGGAGGGATCTGGGAGTCCTGAGATTGAAACTCCGCGATATTTCGATTTTCTTTTTATACCGCTCGTCATCAACGTCAACAGCGACATGCATGCGGGATGTAATCCACTTGGCGTCATGTGTATTAATCAGTCAAGAGACTGCCTCATAACGTTATGACTTGGAGGTGGGGTTGCTTCACCCATTTAGGCACTACGTTATCGGCTATCCTCTGTATGATTGGTTTCCGCTCTGGTCAAAGAAGGAGATCTGCCCGATGCTGAGCAATTGGCCGTCAAAGTTGTTCCGTGAGGGACTTGGTAGTAAGTGTTGGCGGTACAGATGTATAGTCAGCCCCGTCTGTATGCTGCCTATAGTTGTAAGACTTGGCCCCCAGCCCTAAGCACGACGTTCAAAGGCTCGTGGGGTATCAATCTACAGTTGTTGAGTAATCCCAATCGTGCATCACCGGTTTGAGGGGGAAAACAGTGGCTGCGGAGCGGTGCAAACGCCCTAGGGCTAAATTGCAGGGCCGACCAAGGAAACCTCTGGCTGTTGCTGGATTTACGAGGCCTGCTTAACAAAAATTTCTTATCCATTAGAAATGCTTCCCAGAAGCACTAAGCAGCGATGAGGCTAGGCAAATGCGTGCTACTAGCTCCTACGCCAACTCGGCGAGTTCCTGGCCGCTGTGAGAGGAACGGTATTCTCGGTTCCAGAAGCCACCGCAGAATCTATAGCATATACTTTTGGCCCGAATAGAAACTTTCTCTAAGCGATTGAGGTATTCACCGAAGAAGAAAACTGTACCTGAATGATCTCCAACGAGTGAGAGGGTTTCCGCTCGTAAAGATTACAACCTTGAAGCCTGTCTCATCCTCGGCTTTAGGGCACGTCCCAAGACGAGAGTGCCCCTCCTGGGCAATTTTGAAGGATCACTCCAAGCACTTTTTAGAAGAAATTGCAAACAACGACTTGTCAGCTCAGGCGGACATGACAAGCAACTCCGTCCTGCAACGTGTGACTTACAACGGCAAGGGCTCTTAAACTTGCGAGGGGCAGAACCGAGACGATGAAGCCGGACGTTGAAGTTGACATGACGACGATTGTCCCAAGACGGATGTCGGTGTTCGGGCACCCGCTTGAGTCGAAACAAGAAGGCAGGCAGGTGTGATCCCCATTCGCGGCCAAAGCCCGACTGCAACGCAACATCCGTCGGAGCCAGAGTTTGGTCCGGCTGCCTCGAGTCAGCGTGACAAAACACCACCGTCATTGCAAAGCAACACAGACGGTCAAACGTGTCGAGGTGCCAAGAGGCCCGAGTACAACTCTGAATACGCTCAGACACGCCTCATTCTGTGAAAAGCTCTGGGCACTGCAACAGTTTATAAACACGAAACTTTGTAGTGAACAGAAAGCAGCCCCCCCTCCCTTCAACCCAATCACCCGTGCCATAGTCGTCTAGACGGTGGCGTATGGGGCCAGATCGCGTCGCACACGTGGCGTTGGAGGTTCCAGGTGGTTTTGTCCTGTCTCCAACGGAAGGACCGCTACTCGGGGTTCGTCCGGCTCCTCGTACACAGATTCCTGACTCGCGGGGCCGGCTTAAGCTTCGACAGTGCATTGGGGGGTAGATGAAGAATTTCCCAGTCCGCATGGTCTACACAAGACACTCGGGTCATCTGTGCCGACTTGATGAGTGGGTACATTCTGAGGCTGCCAGGCCCCCAAGCAGGTCCGGCGCGCGACCGAGGACTTGGCTGTAAGGCTGGATCAATTCGAGTCTGCAGATTCAAGGCGGGGAGCACTGATGGGCGAGATGGTCACTGGGACACCGTGGTGGATTTCCCGCACTTCAATGCCGGAACCAAGCTGAAGCTGTGGCTTGACAGCAATTACGCACCTCGCCGAGTCTGGCAGAAATGACGACTCCTCAGCCTCGTTCATCGTCTGCCAAGTCTGCGCCGCAGCAGAAGCAGAGATGGTGCCTGGATGCCAAGTCTTCAAGGATCGCATAGATGACAAACCCAACAAGGGAATGTCCCAACGTTTCGGTTCCGAGCCACATTGGGTTGTGTCCTTCATAGCACGTATTCTTACTCTTTGGGCTCCTCGGTACATACCTCAGGCGGCACACAGATACACACATACACACAATAACATGGTAGCAGACAGAGAAGAGGGGGGGGGGGGGGAGCTTGAACAAAGTGGAATAGTTTGGGTATCATTGTGCGTGCAATCAGTCCGGCGATCTCCTCGGTGCCGTCCCCCACCTATCGTACCACCTCTTCTTCCTCCCCCTCCCCCCGTCTCGATCCCTCGGCCTCCCTATGCTCCAGCGTCTGTCCCCCCAATCCCTCCTCTCCCCGCGCAAGCCGCCCCTGACGTGCCGCTTGCCCTCCTCCTCGACGACCTGCAGGCTATACGCGCCCGCCGCCGACCTCGTCTCGCCGTCCCGGCCCAGGCCAAACGCGACGTACGTCTCCCTCGGCGCGGGTGGCACCTCGTACAGCATGCCCGTCCTCGAGTTGAACGAGAACGTCCTGCTGCCCGTCGCCGGCGGCGGCGAGTACCCCGCCTCGCTCGGCGACAGCGGCGGCAGCTGGCCGGCGGTCGCGGCCGCGGCGGCCACAATGTCCGTCAGCTCGAGCGTGACGCCGTTCTGGTGCTGTTGCCCGTGCGGCGTGCTGACGCGCACGCGACGCCGGTAGGTCTGGTCGAGGTCGGCCTCGACGTCGTCGGTCATGCTCGACGCCGTCCGGACGCCGCCGCCGCTCGAGTCGAGCGATTCGGTAAAGGTGCCCTCGGCGATGACGCCGCAGTTGCGGTTGCGCGCAATCTTGCCGATGAGATCGGCCATGGACATTTCAATGTTGAGCTTGACAATGTAGGCGAGGGGGTGCACTTGCTAGAAGGGGATCGTGTTAGCCTTCGAAGACAGCGAGTGACTCGATACTACCGCCGGAGTAGCAGCAGCAGCAGCAGCAGCAGCAGCACGTACCATGTACACAAACGAGTTGCCAAGGCTCATCATGCCAATGATAAAGACGTCCATGCTCAGGGAGAAGCCGACGATGAACATGTTGAAGCGGACGAGGGAGCGGTACTTGGTGAGGCCGTGCATGATGAGGTTCTTCTTGACAATGTGGATAAAGTAAAAGTTGAGCATGGCGTCGACGGTGAGGTAGATGCCCTTCTCGCAGCGGTCCCACCACTCGTTGATGTGGACGTAGCGCTCCGAGATTTGCAGGCGCGCGGGGATCCAGATGCAGTAGACGGATATGTTGACGAGGGTGATGAGGGCGGCGATGCCCCATTTCAGGCGCGAGGCCCTGTTGGGGTCCGTCATGAGGATGGCGCATCGGTTGACGATGATCTGGAGCAGGAACTGGACCTGGAGCGCCCACATGGTCACTGGCAAGGGGGAGGCCCGTGTTAGTGCTTTGCTTTCTGTCTGCCAAGCCAACACATGACGATGACGGGATCGGGGAGGGTTCACCCACAGATGGTAAAGTAAAATGCAAAGCTGGAGTGACGGTCAGCCTTGTGTATTCTTCTCACATGCATCGCACCCCCGTAGCCGCAGGATGCAGCGGCAGTCACAAACACCAGGACTGAACCCCTGCAATACCAAATGTACAACGAAAATGGACAAACCAAAACAGGGCCAAGATTGGAGGCAACGTACCTAGGGGGTATAACATGCAGCAGATACAGGAAACAGATAATGGCAAAGACGAGGCAGACGGCAATCTCGAGCCAGATCATCCACACATAGGCATTGCGCCAGACGCGCATACCGTGACGGCGCCACACATGTTTCGTCTGCTTCGCGGCCGTCCACGTCGTCAGCCAGCCAAAGCCAATGGTGAAGCCGAGGGCGAGTGAGGCGATGATGATATCGTAGCGGGAGACCTCCTCGAGGACGAAGTGTGGAGGAATCAGAGTCTTCATCACGGGCGCCGCCTGTCGCGAGGCGGAGGGGAGGCGGCGGCGTCGTCGGTGGAGGAGGGGAGGAGTGGCGGAGGCTCAGGCGACGGATGAGGCGTCACCATGATCTGCGGCATGCGCTCGCAAAGGGCGAAGGGACGGGGAACGGGGACGACGATACTTCTCTAGACCGTCGCCATGGGATTGAAAAGGGAGGCCGCTTAGAGTGTTATAGTCGCTGGACGAGGGAGGATGGGTTCAGAGAAACTGGCCAGGGGGGGGGGAGCACAACCTTGTTAAGGGCAATTGGGGACCCCAGGTGAGTGCCGACCGGGATGGACGTGGTAGGTTCCGCGGATAAGACGTAGGAAAACAAAACAAAAAAAAAGTGACGGGTTGACAGCCACAAGAAACAAGCAAACGCCCCAAGCGGGAAAGGGAGGGACAGGTCGGGGATCAGTCCGGGGTTGACGACTGCTCTGGTTGGAGAGAGGACGGGCGGGCGACTTCTTTTTTTTTTTTGCTGTGTAGCGAGGAGACGGTAGACGGCTTTTCGTTTGCGCCGTTCTTCCTTGCGATCTGCGCAGGTCATGAACCAGTCTCACAGGTAGCAGCACGGCCCTGAGCCCAGGACCAGGCGCTGGGGGCGGTAGACTCGGCAAGATACGACGCCACCAGATGCTCAAGATGGCAGTAGTCAATGCTGAACTCTGCGCCAGCGAAAGGGGACCTACGCCGTAGGGGACCCTAGGATTGTCGTAGGTATGTGGACGTGCGCGAGTCGGCGGAGTGGTGGAACCGCCGTCAAGCGTTGTTTTTCGGCTGTTCCAGGCTTGATGCTCGATTTCAGCGAGAGAGGCCCCAGAGGGTTTGGTCGGAGAGGAGACACGCTTGTGGAAACATCAACGGCGGGCGAGTGCCATAAGATGAATGCTGAGGGATGAGAAAAAGGCACCAAAAAGGGCTCCGTCCGTTCTTTGGCCGACGCACACTCGAGGAGGGACGAGGGTAACATGGATGCTAGTCATGGGTGCTCGCTGTGACAGTGACCCGCGCAACTGGTCATCTCTTTTGGAACTTCCAATCACCAGGTGAGGCACGAGAGAGAGAGAGAGAGACACCCAGATGGAGCCTAGCCCAGCCCTGCCTAGCTTCTGTTCGTTCATTGTCACCATTACAAGTGCGGTCGAGCTTAAAGAGCCTAGAGGGGTGGGCATTGGGGCTGGAGAGCACATTTCATTTGCTCACCGCTCAGAAGCCGAGCAAAACTCTACGAGACATATTGTGAGTGACAAACAGGTACCTTGTTCATCATCGCTTGATCCTACTCAAGGTAACGAATGACGTGGCGCATCGTCTGTCACGAGGAATAAATGAAGCCTTGAAGGTTCAAGAGCTGCCAACGATTCCCGCAGGCAGGAGGAGCGACTTCCCTCGTATGTAGTAGCTGTCGTGCAGACTAGACTGGTTAGGATCACAGCGATGTAAGTGCGCGCGACTCAGGTCACCGATGGACGGGTATGAGACTTTTTTTTTCATCTGCGATTCCCCAAGACCCAAGAGGGGGTTTGCCGGCCGAGAGTGTTCAAACTTGCGAGCCATAGTAGACAACCCAGCGCAAAGACAGCTAGCCTGAGGGCCGGGGGACCTCAGAGATGGTCTCAGCCGCGCTCGATACCCCATTTGCCTCTTAGTATGATGATCAGCCGAACCTTAAGAGCCACCCCGGTATCCGCCGTTGCAACGAACCAAGTCCCAGATGCGACTGTTCAAGAGGGCAGAAGAGCGATGAAAATTAGGTCATGATCCCTGCACCCACGTCCGGGAACACCCCCCTCCGTCGGCCTGCTATCCGGAGACGGTTTCTGCGAATACGTACGAGCGTGCCGCTTCGACCCGAGCGCTCGGTGTTGGAGGAGTTCTGTGTGACCATTTTGACTTTATCCGGGCCTCCTGCTAGTCGTGTCCGACATGCCAGAGGCCAGAGACGTTGCACCGCGCAAACGCCCTACACAGCCTCGAGCCACGAAAGCTCGAGCCACAAAAGCGCTGGAGCGTAGAAATTGCCCTGTGTCGGACATTCTTAGTGATCGTCACTTGTTGATCTGAGGGCCATTGCGTGTCCCATGTCAATCGGACAGGCTAGGAGCTCGTTCCGCTTGCTTCCGCTTCTTGGCATAGGCTCTGTCGTCGCCTGCTGGCCCAGCCAGTCTGGGGAAAGGAAGCGCTCGGACTGGCATTTGCCCTGAACCTCGAGGTGGCGCCAGGCCCGCCCGCCCGCCCCCCAAGTCCCATTTGTTCCAAAAGCGCATTTCAACCAAGTTACGGGGCTTTTCACGTTACCAACACTCGAGTTCGAGGATTTGGCGCAAACACGCAACATCCTTTTATCACAATGCAGGGCCCTCCCACGCCTCTCTGCCGAGACGCATATACACAGATTGTTTGTGCGGCAGGGCAACTTCCCGCTCTCTTGCAAAGTGTGACTGCTGGAGCAGCTGAATGAACCTACGACGACACATCAGTCGCCTGTTTGGCCAGCGAAATGAAGACGAGACATACCTCTGATTGTCGATGCGCGGCTCAAAGCACACACTCATGGTCCGGTAATCCTCCGTGACACACCAGTGTATCAGACTCGACAACCACGCGGGGACTCTTCCACGTGCCCATTCCTCACCCACAAACACGTGCAGTCCACGATCCCATTCACAGACGCCGCCGCCAAGATGCCGGCCCAACACGTCCTCTTTGACCCAGTAGATCTCGAAGTAGCCAAAGGGCACGCCGTCCCACATTCCAATGACGGGAAACGAGTGACGCGACGAGAGGGCATCGCTGAGAAAGTTGGGCGTGTATGAGCCCCAAAACGCAGAGACGCGAGGATTCGTCAGCCACAGCTGCATGAGAGCCGTGTCGGAAAGGGTCAGCAGGTGAGGATGATCGGGTGGCGAGGAGCCGACGGGGCCCAGGTACGGGACAGGTTTGGGCGCCAGGGACGCGACGCGGAAGGAAAGGTACTGGCCCTGGCTCGGGACGAAGCGCGTGTAGAAAACCTCACCCATGCGCGGCGGCTTGGGCCGCAGGGGATGGCGGGTGCCGTTCGTCATCGTGTACGTCATGGGTGCGGGAGGGTAGTAGGTCGGCAGGTGAGAGGTGGACGAGAAGGGCCCGATGGGAAAGCTTGGAGCCAGGCCGCCGAGGTTCATGGCCACGGGCGCGCCTGGCAGGTCGGCCTCGAGGCGACTGAGGGAGGGCAAAGGCGAGTGTGTGGGCGTCAAGATCTGCGAGTGCGGCCGCGAGTCGGCCATGTTGGGCGACCCGGGCCGGCTGCCAGCGGGGGAGCCGGGGAACGAGGAGCCCGGGTTGCGCTGGAGGGTGAAGAGGAAGAGACGGCCAGGGATCTGCCAAAAGGCGCGACGGGACACAAACATCTGGGTCCACTCGTCGCCATTGTCGTCGATGCTCGTGCCGACGGCCGAATTCATGTTGGCGATGAGGCCCATTCGCTCGAGCTTGGGGATGAGGTTGCGGCCGCGAAAGACGCCATCCCGCTTGACATTGATGCGCCATTCGCCCTTGGGCCTCGCGCCCTCGGGTGTGTGCTTTGACGCCTCGGTCGTGAGGTACGGCTGGGGCTCAGGCTGGTGGAAGTACCAGTACAGGGTGACCCAAAGCATCATGGCGATTTGCCTTGTCGGACTCGCGGCAGGCTTGAAGTCGCTGCTCGAAGGGTTCGAGATGGAGGAGATGAAGAGGTTGTCATTCTGCAAGGTAGGCTTCTTCCAGGCGTGAATGCGGCGCCTGCGGATCAGCTCGTCTTCGTCATCAGGATCGGCCGTCTCACCAGGCGCGAGGTCGTCTTCGGTGTTGAGCACGACGGTCCAACCGATGGGAAAGGCATTGTGGTGTGTATTCCGCTCGTGGGACTTGAAGAAGAGGCCAGAGAAGACCGGGGTGACGGTAAAGTTCTGGCCGTCCGGCAGGTGAAGCATGGTTGGAGGGGCCATGGCTCGGGTTTGACGACGGTATATTTGAAGCGTGTGCTCGGTGCGTGGTGCCGGGTGCCGGGATGTCGGGGTGTCGGCTTCGGTTTCGAGCTCGGTGACGGGCGCTCGGTCGCTGGCGGTAGCTCGGTCGGGACCCGGCGTTCGGTCGGTGGGGGAAGGGGGGGATGAAGAGGAGGGGGGCCTGATGGCGGGGTCGACCAGATCGAGAGAGGAGCTGTGGGCAGCAAGGAGCAAGCAGACGAGCTCGCCTTGAACTGGGGATGGACGGATGGACCTTGGAGGATTTCAAGACCTAAATAGCACTAAGGGGGGTGATGCTCGGAGGGGAGATCAGCTCGGCTCAAGGCCATTGAAGGCCGAGAGGCAAGTAGAATGATTCCAGGAAGCTCTCTAGACGGACCACTGGCGATCAGTCCATCTCGTGATGGGGAGATTCTGACAAACGGGGAGATGGTGGTTGGAGGAGAGAGATGATGGAGGGGCAGAGGGCAGAGGGCAGAGGGGCAGGAGAAAGATGGGGGCAGCTAGGTCGAGCTGCATGCGTGAGCAACATGGGAATGTTTGGCTGCCTTGCCCCAACGGGGCTCTGACAGGCAGGCGCGAAGCGAGCGCAAGTGGCCTGATTGCTGGTGGTGGTTGCCCGCTGCGTGCTGCTGTGTGCTGCTGTGTGCTGTGCTGTTGGTGTCTGCTTCCGTGTCTGCTGCAGTGAACCCCGCCTTCAGCGTGGGTGCCTCCTACCTCTTTGGCACAGACCCAGGCTGGAAGCTCGGCGCCTAAGGAAAGGGTCGCCCTGAGCTTTACTCGTCGCATCATGACAACCGCCACTTTTGACATTTATCACTCTACGATTTGCAGCATTGAGACAAGACCGTACCTACCAAACAGCCCACAGTCCGATCTGACTACTGGCAGATCATTTCTCATCTTCGAGTGAAGTCAAGTCACCAAGAGCCGAATAACATCTTGTAAAACATCATGCGCAATAAAACAGCACCTATGTATACGTCTACGTGTCCATGTGATCAAATGCCGACGCCGCGCTCAAACCAGGAATGATCACAATGTCTTGGTCCCCTACTCGTACAGCCCAACCGCCTCTTGCGAGCCCGCTACGCGAAAGCGGTGCGCCAGATGCTGTGCACCTGTCTCGCCTGTGCCAAGAAAGGGAAAAGGAACGACGAGCGGCAGCACAGCAACGGGATCAGTCCCGCTCGCCTTGCTTTTCCTTGCCGTTGGTGCCGCTCTTCTCACCAGACCGCTTCGGCTGGCGCTCAGCATCGTCTTCGTCGTCATCCTCGTCTTCCTCCTCGTCTTCTTTCTTGCCGCTGTTCTTCTTCTTCTTCTTTTCCTTCTCCTCCTCGAGCACCTCCTTGACCTCCTCCCCACCGAGGTCCACCATCTCATCCCAGTCGACGTCGTATTCGTTGGCCACCATCTTGATCTCGCGGCGCAGCGCATTGGCCTCGTCCACGAGCCCCTCCCACTTCTCGTAGTTGAACCCGCGCGCCGCGTACAGTGCCTCCTGCCGCTTCGACAGCGTGACCTTCATCGCCGCCTTGTAGCTCAGCTCTCGGCTGACGTAGAGGAACCACATGTAGCCGCCCATGATGGTCGTCAGACCCACGAGGTACGTGACGGGCTCGACGAGGTCCCAGCCGGCGTCCGTGTGGAACGTCACGTAGTAGACGGTCCCCCACCAACCGAGCAGCATGGCGAAGCCGCCCTGCGCGATCCGGTGCACCGCCTTGTGCGCCAGCTCGTCGCAGTCCTGCTTGATCTTGGCCTGCGACTCGACGCGCCGCGACATCTTGCGCAGCCGCACCCGCATGTAGTACGTCCGGTCGTTGAAGCTCGGTACCGCCACCCGCAGCTCCTTGTCGTACCCTTCAATGGCGACGGCGAACTCGCGCCCGCGCGCCGCGTCGCGGATAAAGTCGCCAATCTCTGTGCTACTGCTCCATTTGACCCAGTTCGCCTCCGAAGACGCGCGCTCGGGCCCGTCGTGACCGAGGCCCGAGTACGACGACACGTTGCCTTTTTCTGGCTTCTTCGTCGCGTTGATCTGTCCCTTTTTCGTCTTCTTCGACGGCTTCTTCGTCGTGCTCTCGTCCTCGCCGAGGTCTGCTTCAGCGCGGAACGAAATGGCGGGAGGACGCTGCACGTTGCCGTCGATGATGGGAGGGACTTCGGCCTGCAGAAGACGCTCAATGTACGAGAGCGGCTGGTGTGGGTGTATGAGCAGGGCGAGCGGCTGGATCTCCTCGTGCTCCTCCCTCGCGAGGGCAGCCTCGGATTTGTCTTCGTCATTGAGGGTTCGGTCTGCCTTGTCGGCGTGCAGAGGGAGGGGCAGGATGAGCTTCAGCAGCCGCGTCGGTGTAGTGAGCAGTCGCCCTGGAAGGAGTCAGTATTTCGTGAAAGCATGATCACCGAGCTCCTCTCTGTTGGCTCACCTCGAGTCTTGTCGCCGTGCGTTGGGTCAGGCGACGAGCTCGGCGGCTCCGCTTCGCTGCCAGCCCTGTGCCACGGGCGATGAGCCTGTTTTCGTCGGGCGAACTCTTCGCTAAACTCCTGCTCCTCCTCGTGAACAGCCTTGTGGCTCAAGTCCTTGGCCTTGGCGGCTGGGTCTGGTTCGATGCCCTGGGCCTGCAGGGCGCGGCAGACAGAGAACGCGCGGCCATTGTCTTGGTATCGTGCGTCCCGGGAAACCGGAACACCTGGGCGGAAGGGTGTTGCTGATCCTACCAACGGCAGCGACCGTCGGCAAGTGGCTGTCAGGGACGTCGTAGATCGGATGTCAGGCCATCTGCAGCAGACGCGACGAAGTGCCACGCTCATTTCGTCGTCGATTTGATAGAGAGTGCGTGTCTTGTGCAGTTGCAGCTCAATCTTGTCTGTCTGCTGCTCTAGCCAGGTCCTGTCCACAGAGGGAGACCAATGCCCAGACACACCGTCAAATAGTAGCGATTTGGGCCTGGCAGCTTGTCGCGTGCATGCGCCGCCGTCATGACGTCAACCGCGAGCAGTGCATCACGTGAATCCGGAGATGCAGCTCCTTGCCGCAGGTCGAGCTGTCAAACTTGGCTTCCGCTCGCGTGCCAAGCAAAAGCCATTCGATACTCGACCTAGAAAAAGTCCGCCGGCTGCGGTTCCTGGGCCTCGATCGAGGCTGTGTAATGTCCGTTACCCTGTTTTGGCCATGGGTTTCGGAGTCTCGCCGCTCGAATGACGATGATCGGTCGATGTCAGTTCCAACAAACAAGCTCCAAAGCTGGCGACAGCGATCATGCCCCGGAACAAAGATATGCAGACCTCTACAACTGAATATCTAGGTATCGCCGAAATCAATCCCCTAATACTGCATACAAGCGCTCGCTCTCTTCGCAAACAGGGGGCGGATCTTGTGATGCACCTCGATGCACCTCATGCATGATAGCTGCGCTCTGATGCGCAAGAAGGCTAACTGTATCCTTTTGCAGATATAGTTTGGCATCACATCGTCGAGCAGTCCATCTCGTACGCGCGCTGAACCCTGCAGGCTGCCGGCACAGCGATGGACAGCTACACATCGGCGACGCGACGCACTTCGTCCAGCATACCTGACGTACGTTTCATAGAGAGCCCGAAACCACGTAATGTTTTGCATCTAGCCAGTTTAATCAGATTCAACGGCCAGAGTAGGGTCAGAACACATGGACTGTCCCCTCTTTCGCATCGGATGAAAGCGAAGCTTGTACGTTTCCCACCCAGATGAATGAAGGGGGCGTCGACCAGCAGCACAGAAAAAAGAACTTCGGCCACAGGTGGGGCGAACGTCACGTATCAAAGTGGAAGCTCGTCAAGGCACTGTGTTTTTTGGTGGGTTCGTCATTGAGCGCAACGTGCAGAAATCCAAGAGCCGCCGCGGGTGTACGCAGTGTCACAGTACAACAGGCCAGACGCTCTTCTCTTTAACGTCTACACACCCTTTCCAGCAACCCAAGTTTTTCGGTTCCCATAAGATCGCCGTTTCTAATTGGTTCCAAACATATTAGCAAATCGCGTCTCGTCATGTCACCGGTCCCCGATCCCACGGTGACTTACACTGCGTCTGCACGTAAATGTCCGAAGAGCCGCTGCTCTGGTACCCCTCCGTCGCGACAATCTGGTAGTAGTGCGAGCCGAGGTTCATGCCGAACTGCGCCCACGCGTTGAAGTGGTTCTGCATAGTGACGGCGCCGCCGACGCGCTTGGAGGTGCGTACGGACCAGTACTGCTGGAAGGTCCGCGTGCCGTCGATGGAGGGCTGGTTGGTGCGCGTCGAGACGTAGACGTTGTAGGTGCCGCCGTCGGTCGTGACGGTGCCCTTAAGCTGGCCGCCGCTGCCGGGGTTGTACGTGCCGTAGGACTCGACGACGTAGTACTCGATCAGAGGGTTGCGGGTCCAGCCGTAGATGGCGAGGTAGCCGTTGCCTTGCGGGCTGAACGAACCTCCGTAGTTGATGGTGCTGGCAGAGCAGGTCAGTCACAGCGTCGTGGTCTGGAGGAGGGTGAGTGGGTTGACTGCGTACCGGCCTGTGCCGGGGTTCCAACCCTTGCCGCCGACAAAGTTGCCCGTGTCCTTCCACGTCACGGAGTATCGGCTTCCCGCGCCCATAGTGTACGTCACTTGGCCGCCGCCATCACTCCACCAGGAGTAGAAGTAACCGTTGTGGGTGCCCTCCGAGTTGGCAGTCACCTGCCGTCTCTCAAGGAGCTCGCCAGCGTCCGTGATGTTAACATCAGGTCCGTCGAAGTTGTCGAAAGGACGGCCCAGTACGGCGGTCAAGGCCGAAGCGGCAAGAAGAAGAGACCTAAACGAGACCATGGTTGAAAGCAAGTAGTGTGTGCTATAGATCTAGCGTAATACTATGCTTGAGTGTTTCCAACAATGTGGTGATGAAGGTCTGTTTGCCCTTTTATACACCCGAGTTCCATGTGTCGCGACTCACGTAGAACTTCCACAGCCCTCGGCTTGGTACACCCTCAAAGGAGCTAGTACCCCGAACTACCCCATATTCGCGGAGAAGCAATATAGGCTGTTTTCCAACACTTCAAAAACAAGCTTAGTCCCCCGTCCCGTGCCCTGTCACGGGATTGCAGACCAAGTGCCATCAGTGCCGACGGCAAGGGGAAAACAGCAAGTAGCATGGTGATCGCCCATGCATGTGTCGGCATGCACTGACAAACGCGATGCGACCCGGATTCTGCCAGACCAATCGATCCATACCCCGGACTCCGGCTAAAGTCCTCCAAGCACACCATGCAAGCACTCCACCGGTAGTTACCCTATACCGCGATGCTCATCCCTATATTTCGTCGGACCTTTTGTCTCATGTAGCGATCTGTGTAAGGTAACATGAGGCCCAGAGGTTGTCATGAAGCTGAGTCAAGTTCACGTCTTCCGGACAGCCCCTCTTCTGTGGTACAAGGTTTATCAATCTGATGCTAGGGGTATTTAACGGCGAGACGATCTGGTCTGTTCTTTCCCCAGTCCATTTCCCCCTTAATTAGGAAACCAGATCGGCCCAATGGAAAAAAGTAAGGCTGGTCCGGGCGGCTCGCGCCGCGGGAAAGGATGGAGTTTCGGCCGAACGGTGACTTGTACACAAGGCCGGGTACCGGCAGAATATGACACACCGTGGGCCAAAGCTAGAACCAGCTCGAGGTGGGGCCCGGATCATCGACAGCCTGGTCGACACAAGCGGGAAGGACGTGTTCAACAGAGAATACTGGAGCTCGGTCTGATGATTGCTTTAGAAACGTTTACAAAATCAATGAAACCAAAAATATCACATCGCTCGCGCGGATATATGTTGCTCGGTACCTGTGTCCATGTCCTGGCACCACTTCGTCTGCGGTCTTTGCCATTACCAAGCCTCCCACATCTGCGATCCCATAGCAACAAGCCTATTGAAGAGTTCATCTCTGGTCTCAATGGCAGTAAGATGATACTCGTTGCCAATGTCATCCTTAATGAGAAGTGAGTCTGCAACTTCACGGTTGGTCGCCCATCCAACCACAATCTTAGACTTCCAGCCCAGACCGCCAAGCTTCTGAATTTCCTGTACGGGATTCCACGTCAGCATCTTGTACGCACGTTGAACCAAGACAGCTAAACAAGGACGTACCGCAATCTCTCCGACTGTCACGCTCCACTTCGGATGCGCATCTTCCTTCTCTGACGTCCAGCTCAGAGCAGGCGTCGTTGCCGTAGCTGTGATGTATGCGTGACCGCGCTTTCCACCGTAGCGTGCTGGGAAGCGCACGGGGCCTTTGGCCGGATCAGGCTGGTCAACCTTTTTTACGACGCCGAGCCTGTCCTTGGCGTGGTGACTGCCAACTTTCGCCTTGACCTTATTAGCAGTGAGGGTTGTGTTGATGCCGCCCTTGGCTGTTGACTTGATGAAGTTGACGATGCGGTGCCCTTTCTTTTGCTTCTTTTCGGGCGTCTCTGACTCGGCAGGCGCAAGGAGCTCCTCGTCGGGCTGCACGGCTTCGTCGATCTCTTCTTGGTCTACGCCTTGGAGCAATGTTAGGACTGATGGGTTCATACGCTGTCATGATGACCGACCTAAATGTTCGAGACCTTCGCCGGCAGTCTCGTGCGGCTGATCGGCGGGAGCTTGGTCGGAATGCGGCGGAGGGGGTAGGGGTGCCTTGTTGCGTTCACCGATACGGAGGAGGGTGATGGTAAGCTGAGCGTTCGTGGGGATACCCTTGAGAAGTGTGTTGCGCAATTCAATGTACTTCTGCCAATCTGGCACCTTTCTTTCGACAAAAGCAATGCCACGCTGGATGACCGGGTCCCCGAAGAAGCTGAAGCCAACGATAAAGCCGAAGCCCTTCGCCGCCATGTGAGGAGTCACGAGCAAAGAGGCAAAGAAAAGGGGCAACAAGACGCTGGCGAGAATCAGACGCGGCCTGTGTGTGTGGAATGGCGCTGTAGGACTAAGCGCGTTGCCGAATCTCTCGTATGTATCGACGAACTAAAAGTCCAATCAGGCTAAATGGTGATGGTGGTTTAGCAAGACACTTACATCGGCAATACCATGCATCACAGGTCTCGCCTTGTCCCAGACGTTGCGGGTTACGGGTTTCTTCGTCTTGTCGTGAGTGCCCGGCTTTTCGCCGCCTGTCTTATCCTTGGCGTCAACGATATCTTCAGCAACGTCAGCCGGGTCCGGGGCAGCTTCGAGGTTCGCGTCCATGGAGGAGTTTTGGGGAGGATCGCCTTGAGGTTGCTTCCCCGCTGCCGTGGAAACGACGAGCGAGGAGATGCTAGTGACGAAGCTGTGGGCTTCTTTCTCAACCGCCTCGCCTTGGAACTGCTGAGGGGCACCGGTGACGGAGTCGTCGGAGGCGAGTAGGCCTGCCGACGGCGTCTTGACGCCACCAGTAGAACTGTCGATGAGGGATGGAGGTGCCGGTGGGAAGCAGAAGCTCCTCGCTGGTGAGTAAAGAATTAGAGTACCCAGGAAGATAAGGAATGTTGGAAGAAGGATATTGAAGAGCCAGGCGACACCGTAGACGGCCAGGAAGGCAGATGTGCGCCGGTACTCGCGCCACGATCGCAGGCGAACGATCTGTTTCCAGAAAGAAAACAGGCCAACGAGTACCGTCATGTACAGTCGTTCAATGTGAGAGCGCAACTTATCAGGAGAAAATTCCTCCTCGTCGGCAATATTCAGATCCAACTCAGCCAACGGTGCCTCTGGGATAGCCTTGACGTGGAACAGCTGTTTGTCAAAACGGCGGACCAGAACCCAGAGCTCTTCATTTGACAGGCCACCGACTAGAGGACTAGGGACGTTGTTTGCGTTATCCGTGTTCCAGCCAAGATTCTTCACTTCGATCTCTCCGTGGTTGATCTCGGCGTATCCTTTCTCTTCAAGGGGTTTGTTGGCGGCTTGGTCTGCAAGTTCATGGCTCACGGTGGGAGCATCGTTGGCGTGGGCATCAACATGCTCAGGCCCATCGTCGGAAATCATGGCGCGAGGCTGCTGGGGACGGCGTGTGCCTAAAGACGACTGGTCGCCCGTTCCGGTACGAGTTGCATCGTCCAATCTTGGTTCCATCGCGGGATCCTGATTCAGGACCCGAACAGATTCTCCTCCTGGCGCGAGAGCTGGATCCTCACAACTGGCAGTGGCGGCATTCTGCGCAATAGCAGGCTGTGAGTTCAGAGCCTGCTGCTCAGGCAAGACGCCGGCCTCGCGCTGACGTTCGTGGCCTTTGAACATGGCGTCAAGGGCCTCTCGTTGTGAGTGCTGAATCAGTGTGATGACAGTGGCTGGCAGGCAGACAGAGGCGACGAGACGGGGAACATATGAAGTAGGTATCTCAAAAGAATTCTACACGTCGTACCTGCCTGTCAAACAGAAGGCAGGCGCCCCCTACGTCAAAAAGTGGTCGCCGCATCGGGAAATTCCTCATGACGTCAGGCGCACTTCATTGGCTGTAGGACCCAGGACACAGCTTCCCTGGGACGCGGAGCAGCAAGGGAGGCAAGAGCTACCCCATCACGCACCTGCCACCAGCACACAAACAGCAGTCTGTGATCGACTCTGGGATTACGCGGCTGTATCGATTCCCATCGGCCGTTTCGATGGAATGGATCTGGCTTGGCTGTATCTTGTTGACGACGGCATCGACAGCATCCATCCAGAATGTCAGCGACATGTGTGGATGAGACATATTTTGGTGGAGAACAGAGAAGACGATCACCACTGATGCGATCTGCTCCCCACGACGCTATCGATTTCCGCCGGAGGACCGCTCCGGAACAGCATCATCACAGCTGCCATCTGCACTACACCAGCATGTAAAGCACATATTCTTCCTTGATCCAAGTATGTTACAGCTGAATTCGAACGCCGCTGACTCTCTGACTCCCGCTAGTACCCCGCCCACCATGTGTAGTTGTTGGTGTCCTCAGGGGAGTCCCACACAAGCTGCACGCTCGAATCGGACGGCCTGTCGGGCCAGGCATTCGAAAGTCCCTTCCATACCTGAACCTTGCTCCACGAAGCCTGTACAACATCGGCGCTCTCATCTTCATCCCCCTCTGCCGATTGCTTGCATCCACTACCAGCCTCCTTGTTCTCCCAGCTCCCCGCGAAGAAGCTGATGCCAGTACTGTCGCTACGCGAGGGGTACATGCGTGCCGTCATGGCAAACCGCTCATTGACCCAGATCTCGAGGAGCGAGCCATCAACAACAACGTGGAAGTTGACGTCTTCGGTCGTCGTCTTGTTGCTACCAGTCTCCCTGATTTCATACGCCTCGAAGTGGCCTACAAATGTGCGGTTCCCGAAGTGAGGCAAAAGACTGCTATGGTCGCGGTTGATGCCAATCTGCTTGGTCTCGGGGTCGAGGTAAATGACGGTGTATTCGGCATGATCCGGGCTCTGAGCAACCAGGATACCTGCCGTGCCATTGAAGTTGCTGAGCGTCGCCTTAAGCTCGTACGATGATCCGGCATGGGTCACTGCGCGGTGGTGAGTGCTGTGAAGCTCGCCTACGTCAAAGTCGTGGACCTCGCTGCCGTTGCGCATCAAGTCGAGGACGTCGGGAAGAGGTCGGAGACCGAGCGTCTCCGCTGTGAACCTGCCATCCTTTTGCTTGACACAGAGGTTGCCGTCGGGCTGGACATCGCAGTTCAGGACGTTCTTGGTCTCCTTGACAAACAGCTCGGTCGGCAGCGTCATGACGCCGTTGTAGCCCAGCTGCTTCGTCGTGTTGAAGACGTACGCGTCGTTGACCTCTTCGATTGCCCAACCCCACATGACGCGACGGTTCTCCTTGGTGTCGTTCCATGTTGCCTGAGCGTAGGCCATGCCCCAGTCCAGCGCGCCGCCCGAGTTGGGCGCAAACGCGACTGAACCATTCTGCCGCGCCGACACCTCGCCGCGGTTCCACAACGCCCACTGCTCGCGCCAGTGCGTCGTCGTGTTGCCGCCCTCGGCTCCCGCGCCGAAGAACCACGCCTTGCCACCCGAAGGCGTGTCGAGCTCGAACAGGCTGCTGACCTCAAAGTTGTAGCCGTAGGAGCCCGTGACATCAGGGATACCGAGTGAGCTATTGGCGGCCGGCTCCCAAAGGGCACCGAGGAACTCCCATGCCTTGAGGTTCGACGCTGGTGCCGCATACAGTGGGATACGAGGTCCGAGGAATCCTGGGCGCTCGGCACCGGGAAGCGGGAAGGGAACATCACCACCTTTGAGACCAGAGCCAAGAACCATGTAATAATGCGGCTCGTCAACCGAGAGCAGCTCGTCGAGGAGGGTTGACGGGAAGAAGCTGGGATCACGCCAGCCGGTGACGTTCCAGCCATCCGGCGGGCCATCAAGCACAGTGCCAACCTCCTCCCAGGTGAGGCCGCCGTCGGAGGACGTGTAAAGGGCCTGAACCTCCGTGCCGTTGGTGTAGGGAATCTTCCAGTTGGTCGGGAGGAACTGGATGCCAGTAGCAAAGGTGAGAATAGTTCCATCCTGCTCACCCTGCAAGTTGACCGGCTGAGAGGTGCCGGTGAACTGTGACAGAGGGCCAGAGGGGTACTTGCCCGAGGCCAGGCTCACAGCCGAGTCATTGGCCCAGTCGCGCACATCGGTCCAGTGGAAAAGGTCCTTGGAGACGGCGTGGCCCCAAGAGATGTTGCCCCAGTTGACGTGGTTAGGGTGATACTGGTAGTGTAGGTGGTAAGTCTCTGTGGACGGGTCGTAGAGAGGGCCGCACGGATCATTCATCCATGAGTGAGGTGACATGTAATGCGAACGAGGGCGCCAGCGTGTGAACAGGGAGCTGTTGCCCAGACCCTCGAGGATGTCGGTCGTCAGCGTTGGATACTCGGCCGATAAGTCTTGTGCGAAGACAGGAGTCGCCAAAGCTGCGAGGGATGTGATGGCCGTCACGGCCGAAGTAATCTTGAGTGCCGCCATGACGAAGATGGGATGCCGACTGCCAGGGTTACAGACGCCGATAGCTCAGGACTCAGAGCAGCGCTCTGTCCTGTGAGGCCATCGTGATCACTGCTATTTATACCTTATTTTCCCCCGAGTCCCCCAGCGATCCCGAAAACAAGTTGGAAGAAAACTCTCCATGGCCATGCCGATCGCTGCCTTCCAATGGAGACGTCAGCCAGGACACCATCCAACAGCAGGCCTCATAGCCAAGGGCACGCCGGGCCCAGCGGGGAAACCCTAATTAACGCACGCGGGGCATGCGCCAGCCTGCCGGGCCATGCCATGTCACTCCGTCATGACGTCCACACGGGAATCATGGAAGGGGGAAGGGGGGGGGGGGAGAGGGAATCCCGGGCACACCGGGGCGATCGGGGCTTGCGCTCAATTGACTTCATCGGGTGGCGCTTGGTGGGGGGGGGGGCGAGACTACTGCACGACCGGCAGAGGCAGATGCGGAGAAGCTCTCTTGATCGCGCAAACCCTCGCCTCAACCGGGCGTCGAGACGAGCCAATCTGTCTGCCGGGAGGGGCTAAGGGCGGGGGGCTCAAGACGGGTACAGCTCATGACGAAGGGGGCTTGCGGGGGAAGAGAGACAGAAAAGAAGGACGGGCGTGGAGATGAAAGATGGAAGTACCGAATATTTTGACGAGCATCCACTGCATTCTGGGGCTACGGGCCTGCGCCCTGGGGCTTCTTCAGGCCTCTTGCAGGTTTGTGGGATCATCAGAGGTTGGTGACCGGCTTGGCTCGACGGGGATCGCTCCGTACTGGCCTCTTCAGCACACTCAGCACAGCTGTTTTACAGTCTTCAGTGGCTGTCCTAGACCGCAGGACTTGGCTGGACGACAGTGTCCGAGTCATTGTGTTGCATTGATGGCAAGTTTGATGGACCAGGTTTGGTGGGCTGACATTCTTCCTTGCGATTAGACGTCTTCAGCAAACAGCGCCTTTCGTGTTCAAGTTGCGGTCTGCTTAGCAGCCCAACGTCAGATGAACACAAATGAGAAAGCACTCCTTGGTACAACATCGCAAACAGGTTATCATTGATTTGACATCGGCCGACTTGCTGGGTCGGATCACCACCTCAATGATTCTGCAAACCCTTCCATGAAGACATGGCCCAGATCGCCGCTGGATTCTTCGGTCGGTGATCACCAGGAGATGCCGAATTAACTGAGGGTTTTGATGTTTGAGACCTGAGATTACAGACATGCAAGTGCCTCTCCATTGTCCGCGGCAGGATCACGTGCGACAACGACTGCCAACGAGGACCTGCACGCAAGCGCCGACATCATCTCATAGCCGCCGACCAGGAGCCATCGGCCGGCTGGCTGGAGCCTGATCATATATCTGCTGGCATGCTCCGCTCGTCGAGGCGGGTTCAATTTCTTCGCTTTGCCTTCCTCCTCGACATAATACGATTCGTCAATTGTCTGTAGAACGTTGTGTTTCCAGAGACTGGCGACCACGTTCACCACCAATGGCAGACCGGCAACAGTATACTATCGGCTGGATCTCCGCACTCTCCACTGAGTCCGTCGCCGCCCAAGCCCTGCTCGACGAAGAGCACGATGACATCCGCACCCGCCCTCGGAATGACAATAACAACTATACTCTGGGCAGGATTGGCCATCACAATGTTGTCATCGCCATACTGCCAGATGGCGAGTGCGGGGCTGCCTCAGCAGCTGCAGTGGCTCGAGACATGCTACGAACTTTCCCGAATGTGCGTCTTGGCCTTCTAGTAGGCATCGGTAGCGGAGCGCCCAGCTTGAAGCAGGATATACGGCTTGGTGATGTCGTCGTCAGTAGTCGCTCCGGGGGAAGAGGCGGCGTGTTTCAATACGACTATGGCAAGGCCCTCCAAACAGGGAATGCCTCGTTCCAATACATGGACTTCCTGAATCAACCCCCAATGGCACTCCGGACGGCCGTCGCCGCGCTGAAGAGTAAGCACATAAGAAAAGGGCATCAGCTGAACGCCAAGGTCGAAGAAGCGCTGCAGAAGTGGCCGCGGCTGAAGGTCGAGTTTTCACGCCCACCACCAGAGAGTGACCGCCTCTATAAGTCTGATATCCTGCACGCAAATGCACGTCAGGACTGCGGGGCTGTGTGTGGCACCGATCCAGCACTTCTGGTAAGCAGGGCGGAGCGCGGCGAATATCAGAATGATCCTGCAATTCACTATGGGTTGATCGCGAGCGCGAACCGGCTAATGGAAGACGTGCGGGTTCGCGATCGATTGTCAGCCGAAAATGGCGTCCTATGCTTTGAGATG